CATCATCATGCCACAGCAGTCTTGAGTCATTGAAGTTGAAAATTAAAAATTCGCAATCAGGTTTGCAAACGTGACACATAAGGCAGTGGGTGACGGCGGCCGGCCAAAAGGAATGAGAGTAAAGTGTCTACCGTCGTGTGGCCGCCTACGATGGCCCTGTCTCGGGCCGGTCAAGGTGTCCTCGCCAACTCGCCTGTACATCCTCAACCTCGTCCTCCCCTTCAACAAACACCATCGCAATGTCCGTTTGACAAGACGTGTATAGTATAAAGGAACGCTTTGTGTTGGCTCATTTCAGATAACATGGCACATGCGACAACAGCATTGCACTGGGCCTCCAGTTACTACAGCGGTCGCTATTGAGGACGTAAACGATGGGATGGGATGGTCATTTGTTAGTGATCAGCTGTTTACTGCAGATAAACAATCAGGTTGTAATCAGTCATTACGCTATCATAGCCGTATGTTATGCAACCAGTACACAATTACACATAAGCTCAGGGGGAGGGTAAATCAGCGCTAGAGAAAGGGATCTGAAGAAGTCCTTGAGAAGTGCACGCAAGCGCGGAAACAGAATCAATTAGGAGCGATTTTGATGTTGCGTCGACAAATGACCAACATGGAATCTCACTATATTTCGAGGGAATTCACTCAAGCGAAATCGTTGTCCTTTCAATGACGTACTTCTGGAACCAGTTTTGCGAAAAGGAAACCAGTTATTACTGTTGCGATGAGTGGATTGTCATTGTTCCTTGCTGAGGCTCATGAATGTGTGCCGGGGAATATTCAATGAGATGTTCAGTGGGCGTTAAAACCCATTACAAGAGGTGCAGTGCCAGTCAATGCTGGGAATGCGTTCCGTTTCCGACATTATACGGGAGCACTTCTCAAATAATAGCTTGGCGAGAGAGTTCTTTGGCAAGAACCGTGATATGCGTGGTCCTTTGGCATGTATACAAGGCCATCAATACGAAAGTATGCACTTGTAGGAGGGCAGGCGGATTTGTAAACTTACTTCGATACCTAGAAAGAGGTACATATGTTTGAACATCACATCAGTACTAACATTTATGTGCCTATTGTTTTCCAGTGGACGATAGCTGGATACTCTCTGGAACCAAAGAGTCCACTTTGGCCCTGCACGACGCAACGTCATCAAATCAACGAAATCAAGCTACCACCCTCATCAGTGCAGAGGTCCTTACTTGAGCAGGGAAGGGGTGGTGGGCGATCAGAGCCTAATAATTTCCTGCCAAAGGATGAGAGGTTGCTCAACAGAAAGTTGAAAGGTATCTGCCTCCATTGTAATTAAATAAAATCTGTAGAAACTAAATGAAGAGGTTCAAAGGCAGTTGGCACGATATCCCGCAAGACGACTAGGATCAATACTCCTGGCAGGATAGAATTCCGCGACCCTGGGCAGGCGCTGCATAGCGGTTTCCCCGAGGAAGGTGCCCTTATAAGGGCCCTATCAAGCCACAACTTTACGTCCCAAACGCCCGCCACGCCCGCCCGCCCACAAATGGACGACCGTTCCTGACGCTCGTATTCATTCATTTGCTAAGCAAATTATGAAGCGAAGGGATTGGTATGAAGCGGCCGTGATGCTGCATGCATACATGGGTACACATATGCAGCCGTATCTTCGGTAGCGGTGATTGGTAAGATGCCTACGGGAAACTCGTCCGAAATCGATTTACAAGTCACTGAGAACGGAGGCTTTTTCTTCGCAGGATTTTGACCGTTTCACTCCGTTCTTTCGCCATTTCCCCACTATACAGCGCCCTACTAGCATTTTAGGCTAAGTAGGAAACATCGTGCCAACTGCCTTTAAGGATTTCATTTTAATCAAGGAAGTTTCTTATCAGCGTAATACTCTCTCTTGTAAGGGTAAAGATGACATTGTATCCGGAGTTGATCCATATTGAAATATGAGACATATATTTCCATTCCGAAAAGTAACAGTTTTACGAATGCAAATCGCCTATACAGGTGGGGGGGGGCAAAAAAAAGTCATTTTCATTCCTCGATTTTCGAGGCGATATAAGTTACACTTTATCAAATTCTGATTGGACATTTCCACCATATTCAACAACACATTGTACACTATCACGATACTCCGCCACAGCCTTCTGGACGAGCGCCATCGAGAGATTCTGCCACGCGACCGTGATTCGGTGCCTGAGTTCAGCGAGATCGTTGATTTCTCCGCCACTGTAGACCACCCTGTTGAGCTTCGCCCGAACCGGTAATCGACTTCAAGTCAGGTGACACATTTGGATATTGTGCCTTCCTCAAGTACTCAACGCCGTTCCATTCCATGTAGGCGAGAGTTTTTCCAGCTCCCTTCGGTTCCATGTGGTGACACCATCCTGTAGAAGACGGTACAGGCGACGAGATGAAGGCAAGATATCTCCTCGAGTTGGTCGATGTAACCGTCAGCGTTTTCCAGGGTCCACTTAGGAATTAGAAAATATCGGTTTTCCCATTCCAGGAACCTCCGGATCCATACCATCAACCGCGCCTTGGCGACTGCGGTGAAGATGATATCCTGGACCATAGCGACGTTGTCGGAGCTGCTCGATGTTGGAGGTACTTCATATCAAGAATGCTGATTCTCAGGTAGCTAGCTGACAATAGGTGACTCCATACAAGAAGTTTGGAGGTGACATGAATTCCGAAGGTCTTCTCCAGTCAGGCTGCGACTGGAGATGACTTCATATTTTGGTGTACATGAAGGTGATGGGCGAGAGCCAGCTCCTGCTTATCGAGGAACATCTTGGGTATCTTCCGCCCTGGTACTCGTATCCATGTTTTGTCTGGGCTGCGGAAACTTCACTGTGACCCAACCGAAGTGTCTTTTTTTTGCCCCCCCCACACCTGTATATAATTGCGTGGACCAGCCGATGTACGCTGGGAATCCTTTATATGTGCGTACTTCAACTGCACCGTGGCAGTGTCTGTAGTTTAGATGAGATCTTTTTGACAGTTCAGGCCAATACTGTACAAGATGACAGTGGTCTCGAGTAAAAATATCGCACGAGTAAAGCATTAGAGGATAGGTCTCCCACAAGGTAAATGACCCTTGACCGGTGGAAGCTATGGTTGACTTGGTTCGATGATCCGGACTATGGGAGTGGTACGACAGCGTCCCTGCTATACACAATTTCAGTCTGTTGAAGGTGTATGGCCCAAACCAGCGATTGACAGTTTACGGCGGTCTCAAAAGAGTGTGTACAAAGTAAGATGAGGTCCTATGAGTACTCTAAAACCATGTACGCTTATGCTGCGGCGATCCTGAGGCGTATCAAGAGGATGGATTTAGCGTGGAGCCGGCCCGTCTTCTGCCATATTCCCCGCTCCAGCTTTTAACCGTAGGTGTAGAACAATCTGTTTCGCTCCAGACCGAGCTTCTCCGACACGCCCCGACATCCGCAGCGAACAAGTATGTACACATACATATATTGAAAATCCCTGAGATCGGGTAGGCGTGGCCGCATGCTTCAACTTAACCTGAAGGTGTCTATGCTTCTGGTGAGATATTTTCATCTTGACACAATTGTTGTCGTGTCTCTGTCCAACACAGAACAAGATGACAGTTGTCCCAGACTGGAATATTCCACGAGTAACCAGTTCCGTGCCATGTTCAAATGCCACGCCTACTCTGGCTCAGGGATAAGGAGTGTACCAAGACCAGCTAAAATAATGGACTCACCAGTCCCTCGCACTGCTTATTACAGCGTATCGGGTTCTAAAGCTGTTTTCAACACGATTTTTCCGCTTCTCCTCTATAGGAAATCATAAGCCATTATTTGTCATTTTGAAAGACCATTCAGATTGGTGTCTTATGAAATAAATTAAAATTGATGGTGACGCCTCTGGCAATATTTCGGTGACAAAGGAATTTTCACTGATTAATCTAGAAGCAATGAGGACCTTACATGGTATTTGCACGACCTTCACCATAGACACAACAAAATACCAGCAAAATTTGAGGGGGTATAAAAGGGTCACAAATTTCTGCCAGTCGTTAAGCAATTATCATTTTAACAAGTTCTTCTCAAATTCTTTTCAGTCAAGACTTGCCTCTTTGGTGACTACAAGTCTGCGAGGAGGGTTGAGTTTCCCACTTAACATTGAGATGTCACTGACTTTCGGATGCAGTGATATTCTTGCCATAGTACCCATCAACAAGGGCGCCCCTTCGGTTAAACTTTTGCAGAATGCGCCACTCTCGATATTTCCTCCTCTGGTACAGCCCTCTCCAATCTTACGTACCATCCAGCACTTCAAGCGAGAGAACACCAAAAAAAGTAGTCTAAGACGCCAATACGACCCTCCCTTATCCAGCGATCAATTAAGACCTCCTGGTTGTGTCCCAATTTTATCGTGAATTCTCCGTGAATTGGCGTGTCCTGCCACCAATACACCTGGCCCAGTCTGGCCGCGTCCCATATCACGTAGTCTTCATCAGAGGTTCTGAAGAAACCACATTTCGGGTGTGGTCCATGATGAATCACGTTGCCCCTCGTGATAGGAGGACCAGCCAGCCCCATAGCTCCTGTCTCTAGAACCGCTCGTGTGATTTCGCATCAACCAGTAGCCTTTTCGGAAGTACAGACGTTATTCTTTCGAATGGGAGAGCTTGTTTTGGGGGGAGGGGGGAATTGGAGAAAAAAAGGGGTGGCTTTGTCCCAAAGTTGATGCCATCCTGACGCGGCGATAACGGGTGAAAAAGTCTGCTCCTGCTGCGTTTCAATCCACCCCCTTTCATCCGCGTTTGCAGGAATAATGACTGTACGTCAGTAAACAAAAATGATGGAAGGCCCCAGCTGAGATTCACGACCCCCGAAAAAAGTCAGTGGAGGGATTTTCAGATTTATCAGCGAAGTTCCAGTGAATCACCCAAGAACTGGTAGCGCTTCCGACATCCCACCCCATTTGCCGTTTAAAAACTTTGCCTATTGGAATGGGGTCGAACTGAGCTCCTTCGGTCTATAATGAACTCACGAGAAAGTACAGGAAGTTTTCAGGTGAACAAAATTGAGGAGAAAATGTTTCGAGTGGCAGTTGTGCTAACCCTGCTATACATCTCTCACGCGCAGTACGGTGTACCGGCAAGACAGCCGATGGGAAGCTATGGACCCGTATTCCAGCCACCTGTCTTTCAGCCTATTCAGATCAAACCTGTTTACTTGCCTGAATTGCCACCACTACCAGAACTCGTGAGTATCCTTTTCTTAAGCAGAAATCCGAGTTTAATCAAAGTATACAAACAATAAAAGCTGAATTCCTAATGTAAACGCTTTTAGCTTTGGTCCTATCCCTATTACAATCGCTGGTGGAGTCGCAGTGAGAGTGAGGGTAGGTTGCCATTTTAGCTAGTAGCTACAGTCCTGTTCTCTGGGGGAGCTGGAGCGTTTCAGAGCGGTTGGGAGTTGGGTTTGGCGGACTATAATCCACTAGTTGTTGAAGCTGACAGGCGACCACACTCGGCGAAACACTGGCTGGTGCCGCGGCAAACCCATCCCCTGAAATGCCCCAGACCCCGTAGTGAAGAAGACTGTAGGCGTACTATAAAACACTTTACTTGTAGAAGATCGCTGCGACGATTGTCGCCCTCTGAGAAATGCCTGCAAGCCTTCCGACAAGAACTGCGAGATGCCCTCAATCAAGTAATAAATGAATCTTTTAAGGTTCTCAGTTCTGCCCTTACTGGTGACCAGTTTTCAGGTACTTCAAACAAAAAGGCTGCCAGAGGGCCATTGTGCATTGCAGTGATTCTAAAAATTACATGCTTATGACGGCTAACCGCAAGGTTCTCAGCAATGGTGTGGCTATCGAGAAAGTTATCAAGTGCAACGAAAAGGGAAGGTGGGTTTTTTTTCAATTGCACTACTCTATTCTCTGGGTTCGCCTCCAATTTACAAATATAAAAACAATTCAAACAAATGTGATCCAGTCCCATAGGAAAACGAAAACAAGCGAAATTACAGTCAGTTCGGATTCTCACAATAATATTTCCCTCCAGGGGACCTTGTACGCTGGGGATCCCAGTGAGGATGGGGGGGGGACGTATCTGATTGCTGCAGGGAGGCAGGAGGGTCGTAGTTGCCCTAGAAAAAAAAATGTTAGGAGTTTCGAAATATTCTCGGTTTTCCCTCTCTCAAGTGCGCTATACGCCCCACACCCACCACAAGTGATGGTGCTCTTTTTGAGGCTAAACTAGGAACTTTTGGGGAATCATGAATAAACAGGTAATTGGGAAAGTCCAGGAAGATGGTGGGTAGGAAGCGGAGGTTGCGCCCCTTGTTGCCCATGCGAGGGCTCAACCTCGTGAGCGGCGACGCCTGCGAGGGTCCAACTGAAAAAGAGGCAGTGTCGTATCCATAAACGAAAAGCTATAGCACAGCTTGATAGTAGGCAACCGTTGCAAGACGCCTCCTTTCGCTCTCCAAACTGAACGATATGTGGTCCCTTTGGTCCCAGGCCCTATTGGAAGAGCACCCTTGGGCAATTCTCCGTGACCACCAACTGCTTCAGAGAGCATTTTTGGGGTAGTTTTCCTTCTGAAACCTCAGTTTTCTGTTGCAAACTTCGCTTACTATCTCTATCAGCTAACGCAGAGCTTCCATGGGGAAAAAAAAGATTTAATTTTCCGTGCTCGATTGATTTAATTTACTATTCTAGAGTAATGCATAATCCTAGCTGTTGCAGATGGTTCTCTGAGGACGTCGACGGCGAAGGAACCACGTTTAGCTCACTGCGCTGTGTGAAAGTAAAGTAGTAGCCAAATGAGCACTCAATAAAATTTTTCATCGCAACGAGCGGACTCTAGCTGCTGGATTGGACAAAATACTTGCAAACATATCCAGAATAACTGCGTGAAAGTGGCGTTTTCCTCTGACGAGCTACACGACATAACCCGCAGACCAATTGTGCTAGCAAGAAACAACACTGCGCGAGCGAACAACTAATCACCTGCCATTACTGCCACATTCTACGGTTCTGAACGGGAGTAGAACGCATGGCGCACCCCAGAAGAGATCGATCATTGCACATTCGTTCACTTACTCGAGTTTTATTCAAAAACCACATGGTTTTGAGTGGAGTGGGCTGAGCTCTTTACTAGATTGAGTCATATTATAAGATCCGTTATCGTGGCAGTTCACAAATTGCACAAAATAAATACTGAATACAATATGATATCCACAATCAGAAACCAGAACCTTTTCGTTTTTCGAAAATCAGAACTGGGCCGACGGAAAATATAGGTCTTAGAAAAAATGAATAAATTCCAGTGACTGTGATTTGTGCGATGTAGATGAGAGTTAGGATTACGCATGGCATAAGAAAACAGCGCAGTCAATTGATGTGATGTGATCATTCAAATAACAAATTACACTTACTGAAGTAATGTGCAGTATATGTCATGAGCTCGTCGACATCATTTCCATAACCTGCTATGACAACTCTTAAAACTTGTTCTATCACTATAAAATTGCATTCTTCTCTTATCCGATGCTAACCGGCCTTAGGTCGATTCCTGATGGAATTCCAGAGAGACTCCAAAAATCAGGAAGCAGACAGGCCAGCCAACCCTTGAAGAAAGAAAGGGAGAAGTTCAGCAAAAATTTAAATACCTGCTATACCTACTAACAGGAACCAAAGTAAATTGACTCTCTACTGTATTCTACTCCCTATTTATAATGAGCTGAGAAAAGGTATCAATTTTTTGTGGGGAATTTCGGGCTAAATGTTCCTTTATAGGGCCTTAAATCAGAAAGGCAATCACCCAGAGAGCAGCCATTATTCCTTGCCAGCAGTCAGTCATTATCTTGCCTCATACCTTTGAGAAAGATATTGCCAGATGCAAAGCGATAGCAGCAGCCAAATACTGTGAAACGGTGACTGCTTATTTAGACTTAGACGTAGACCTACCTGAGTACAGCGTAGGTTTGAGCTGCCTGTACTCCAACAGTGCGGCGTTTCAAAACTTGTAATATGGAGTGGGTCGAGAGTTTTCCATTGCGAGTTTTTCCAGACCCAAAAGCTTAACAAAGCCTTTCAGAACTTACCTGCTCGAGCCAGGAACACTAAAAGAAATCAAGTGTTGGAACAGCGGCTAAATTTATATCAACGCTTTTTCAGGGAGAAACTCAATTCTAAAGCATTCCAATGACAGGTTGTTGAGTAAGGCTTGTCAAAAGGGGCTGTGCCGCCACCTTCAGACGGGGAAACTCAGGAAATTAAGCAGTGTGATTCGTAAGAAGTATGATTCGTCATCAGCTAACTATTTCCCAGTCACCCCGGCGTAATATGCGATTAGTCATCCATAGACTACATCATTCGTCGTTACTGGAGGAATATTCTGTAGATAAGAGAAGTTTCCAAAACATGTTCTGACTCACAATAGAGCAGAGAAATATTGAAATTAAATTAAATTAGTTCCACTTTAAATTGAAACTCTTTAAGTGGAAATGGAATTTCAAGATTAAATTAAGGTTTGCCCTGTATGAAGTTTTTCAGCTAATTGATGCCCCTTTCAAATCAGCAGCCCTTCCTGCTATGATTCCGAAGAGAATTTCGTCATTGCAACGTCACGAATAGCCATGGCTCCGACTGCACACAGCAAGCTTGAAGGCATTTGGCACAGTAATTTGGCTCTAGGCCTGAAATACTAGCGGTCGCTATATAGTAGAAAAATAGCGAAAAATGAAGTGAAACGATTAAAAACCTGCGAAGAAAAGCCTCCGTTCTCAATGACTCAAAAAGCAATTTCGGACGAGTTTCCCGTAGGCATCTTGCCAATAACCGCTACGGTAGGTACGGCTGCACCTGTGTACTCATATATCCATGCAGCATCATATTTTACTTGGCAAATAAAGCAATTCAAGCGTCAGGTACGCTCGTCCATTTGTAGACGGGAGGGCAGTGGGCGTTTGGGTCGGTATCATACCAAATGCCTTAATCTGAGCGATTTTGCGATTATAAGTGGAAATGGATGGTGAGTGAAGCTGGGAGGGCGTGGACGATATAGGAAAATTCGACAAGTTTGGGGAGATGTGACAAAGTCTTGTAAGTGCAAACACTTGAAGTTCCTATCCCCATGAAAAACTGGTACGGCTGAACCGACAGGTAATGTCAGTTCCAGAAAAGTTGAGTAAATTTTTGTCATTTAGTTTTGAGCGGCTCTTTTTGATGGCACATCAGTACTGAATAATTGAATGCGGCGCGGCCTATGAAGTGATTTGCGCGATCCAGTTAGTGTACAAGACGGTTGCCTTTGAGTTTTTTACTTTGCTACCAATGCTTTCAAGTGGAACTCTCCACCACAGTCTGACATCTCGAGCTGATTGATAGAGCAGATTGGTGCTTCGCTTGGTGTAGGCCAGCAGAGATTGTTTGATTGCACGGAACACGTACAAGTAAATAAATAAACAAATAAATAAATAAGTTCGATAAATAAGCCCGCCATCAGAGAAGGCCTCGCGACATCGCGATCGCCGCGCGATGAAATTTAAAGTGGTACCCTGTGAGTTGAAAACAAACTTGAGAGTGTGAAAAGGCATCACCATAAGATGTGACCCTCAAAAAAATAAGTAATAAGTGGATGATCGAGGAGATGGTGCGAGGCGGATTACAGATGTATGGAACAGACTACAAAAAGGGAAGACTATTCGTGAAGAAAGATCACAACAACTTTGGAAACAAACACAGTTTTGTCAATTTCAAAAACAACTATAGGATGGGAACGAAGATTAAATTAATCCTTATCATTCGTCAGATTGGTCATGTGGTGATGCGATGCTCCTGATACCTATGGTTATATGGTACTCCTTTCTCCCTCCCACAAGCACAACATATGCAACATCAAAGCGCACTTCTTGGCTAGTGAGCCCTTCAGCTATCAATTTTTTTCATCTGGTATATTTCTGAGATCTGACAGCGTTCAGACTTCGCGACGGCAGCGGCTCAGTCGCGCGTTCGGCGCGATCGATGCGCACGCTTTTAATTGCATCGAACGCGCGAACGAAGAGCTGCCGTCGCGAAGTCTAAACGCTGCCTTACGGGTTCACCCAGTTCAGTGCTATCGCTCAGTTTTCTCTGTTGGAGCCTTCTGCTTTTGTTTGTGTTCATTTTTTTCTTTCTTATCCTGGTCAACACTGCCCTGTTTTAGTTACCGCACTCGCTATTAGTTGACTGATCATAGCGCGTCCGTTGGGCGCAGAATAAACAAACAAATAATCAAATAAATTGAAGTTAAAGCAATAGAGCAAAAATGGGGTGTGCCATTAGGTTGCATTCATATTTTTCGACACTTCATTCTAGAAGAATCGCAAAAGAGAATCCTTTTGCACTCTGAATTTCTCTGTCGCGATCGAGCACAGTTTCTTTCTTGAGCGTCCTCTTACGAACTTCCTTCTGAAATAACTTCTACTAGAGTAGAGAATTCTCTTCAGTTGTTTGCTGTGAACTGCTCTTATTTGATTCTTTCACCATTTCCTCAATCATCCACCCTTTACTGTTTCTGATTATGGTCAACATTTCTAGGGATATCCTTCCCAAATTACCTTTTCCAAAAGTAACAATCGATTTCAACTGAAAATGTCCTGTTTGGTGTCAGTATATAGTATTCAATATTCGGCTCACGGCGATCGCGATGTCGCACGGACTTACACCCCTTATCCCTGAGAAGGAGTAGGCGTGGCATTCGAACCATAGATATAGATGGATAACCGGGAGCACTTCAATTCGAGTCAACTGTCACCTTGTTCTCAAAGTGAAATTATCTCACGAAAAGCTTAGCCAATGCGGCGTTCAACTTAAGTACGCAACCACGCCCACCGCAATGATCGGGAGGGGTGTCAGTGCGCGATATCCACCACTCTAGTGTACTTTACGCTACAAGTTACTGTTGTAATTGAAGCGATCTATAAGCTTGTTATATGTAGTTCTTCACTATAAAGCCGTTCATCTTCGGCCGATCAACGGTCATAATGGAAGTTAGAGCACATGTTTTTTGAACCATACCAAGAAAGGGGACCAGCTGGCTCAAGTTTCGAAGCATCCAGCGCTCTCGGTTCGAATGAACAAACGATTTAACGTGCACATTTGCAGCAGTTTCGCAGTCATTGGTGAAGTGGCTGATGGCACGGTATGATAGAAGTCACTGCCGCAAGGCTGCGCATGTGTCACCTACCATATCTGACAATATTTTGTAAGCGTATCTGACACATAGTGCTTTTCCAGACAAAACATAGCATTGAAAAGCTGCTTATATAGCTGAACGGTCGTTCGCGCAGCGACAACCACCTTTCTAGTTTCTCTTTGTCGAAATTATGTTATCGCTCTGTTCTCATACGAATAGCTGCTTCAGGGTAGCCTTTATATAACTCCAACTACTTCAGAATTGTTTCCGTACTTCACGCTTCAATAGCATACTCTCATCATCCTGGCAAGAATCCCTCAACCCATACGGAGTGGAGAATTTCAGTCGAGCACCATTATATCAAGGAGAAAACGAACCCTTAGCTCTTTGCCCCCTCTCCTGCTGCAAACCTCAATCCTCCAGCTTCCTCAGAATGTGGGCTGTACAAACCGCGAAGTCCTAGCCATCGACCGCAGACGGAACCCGAACCTTCCAACCCAATCAAGCTCTTTCACCAGTAGTTCCAGACTCCTGCGGCACTTCCCGAGCAAAGTACCTGAGAGGTCCGATACACCTCATACGAACCTGATGCTTTAAGAATGTATTCCGCCTAATTGTAACAGCCTCCCATGGCC